TATTTTCATCGTCGTTTCGTTCGGTGATGGTCATTAGTATAAAAGGGATATGACCTTGCATGAATATTATGCAGTAAATCAACATTAGAGTATACTTTCGCTTAGCTCGTTGATGCAGAAAGTATAATGCAACATTCAACTGCTATTACGTTAATCAACTTGTAGATATCGAGATATCGATGAGTATGGTTTAGCTTCCAAATGAAGCAGTTTCTCGAACGCTTTTATTTTCTCGCTGAAAGTTTTCACGGTGCTGTCTGCGAATCTTCATTGCAAAATTTCAGCAATTTCTTTTGCTCTAACCTTGGTTCAGTCGTTTACTCATATGAGCTTTATCACTTGCTGAATATAAACTTGTTTGTTTCATTTTGTAATGTTTAGATGTTTTACGAAGAAGAGCTGGATGTGCAATTAGTCGCCTTCGATGAAGTCTTAGATCATGTACTTCGTATTGACAGGATTTTCAGACAGCCACAGGTAGACGCATTAAATATGCATGTAATGCCTATTGCGTGATGATCGATGTAGGGTCACCTGCTGTTGATCGGTGTTAGCGGAAGTGGACGGACGACACTGTCTCGTTTCGTTGCCTGGATCAATGGACTGTCGGTTTTTCAAGTCAAGGTTTGTATGTGTTGCGCCTTCTTCAGTTGAGTTTTTATTCTTCTGAAGGTTCACAGTAAATATACGGCTGCTGATTTTGACGAAGATCTGCGAAGCGTACTTCGCCGAGTTGGTTGTAAGGTAAGCAGCCGTTGTGTCAGCGTTTGAAAAGTAGATATTAACATTTTTACGTTTAAGGGCGAAAAAATATGTTTCATAATGGACGAGTCGAACGTGATGGATTCGAGTTTTCTTGAACGCATCAACACGTTATTAGCAAACGGTGAAGTTCCTGGATTATTCGAAGGCGATGAACATACGACGCTGATGACACAAATTAAAGAAGCATCGCAGAAAGAGGGTTTGATGCTCGATTCGTCAGAAGAGCTTTACCGATGGTTTACCCAACAAGTAATGCGAGTTAGTCTCTCGTGAGTCTGTTAAGTGCCGGTTCCATTTAGATCATGCGTAACCTCCATGTTGTCTTTACCATGAATCCGACCACGGAAGGTCTTAAAGATCGGGCTGCAACATCTCCAGCATTGTTCAACAGGTATTTATCGCTGAATTATTCTTTACGAATTCATTATTCCTAACTTATTGTAACCGTGGGTTCATAGATGTGTTTTGAATTGGTTCGGTGACTGGTCCAAGAACGCATTATTTCAAGTTGGCCAAGAACTGACATGGAACCTGGATATCGATCGTAGTGGCTACAGTCCTCCAGATCTTTTCCCATACGCTTGCGATCTGGTTTCACGACCGCCTTCTTGCAGAGACGCGGTGGTTAACGCATTTGTGTACGTCCATGATACGCTACACCAAGCTGCGGCCCGGTTGGTGAAACGTGGAAGCAAAACTATCGCGATTACTCCGCGACATTTTCTTGATTTCATCAGTCATTACGTAAGCTAATGAAGATTGCTTTGAGATGCGAATGAATCGACTTGGTAGGTAACTCTATACCGGGAGAAGAGAGCCGAACTAGAAGAGCAGCAGTTGCATCTGAATGTCGGCTTGAACAAGATCAAAGAAACCGAGGTGCAGGTGAAAGAACTGCAGAAGTCCCTCAGTCTCAAATCGACAGAGTTGGAAGCGAAGAACGCCGCTGCCAATGCCAAATTGAAGCAGATGGTAAGGATGTAGTGGCGATAATTGTTACTGGCATTTACTTTCTTTGTTTAGCTGAGCGATCAACAAGAAGCGGAGAAGAAGAAACAGGTTAGCGAGGAAATTCAAGCACAGCTAAACAAGCAGCTGACAGAAATTGCCGAAAAGAAGCGCAGTGTGGAACAGGAACTAGCTGAAGTAGAGCCCGCCGTCATCGATGCTCAAAATGGTAAGTCGTCGAACCTTTGCATGCTCCTCGATACCCAGTCAGTAGTTCATGCCCGCTTCGTCGTCGGTGATCTGCTTTTGTCGTCGCTCATCGTCGCATGATGTGTTTAGCCGTAAAATCGATTAAGAAACAGCACCTGGTCGAAATAAGGTCGATGGTGAACCCGCCTCCACCGGTTAAGCTAGCGCTCGAATCTATATGTCTGCTGCTCGGCGAGAACAGCACAGATTGGAAGACAATCCGCGGTATTATCGTCAAGGACGACTTCATCAGTCGAATCATCAATCTAGACGCCGACTCGATTTCGTAAGTGCTATTTGTTGCTGTTTATCGCATGCTGCACACATCGTTGTCCTGCGCTGCGCGTCTC